GTTTTTTTTTTTTTTTTTCTTAAAGAGGGAGAACTCTCCAGTTGTGTAAGCTTCAGGCCCGCATGAAACCTAGACCTTTCCCGCACCCTAAGCCCACCTGCCTCCCTCCTAGGCTCATCCTACGGATTAACCTGAATCCTGTGTACACACACAGACCCTGATAAATCATGCTTGACAAGTAATAGATGTTCCATAAATGTCAGCTGTCATCATAACCGTGACCCCTTCCGTCCTCATTATGTTCATCAGAGCAGTCATGGGGGCAACGAGACAGACTGGTTGCAATGGACTTGGGAAGAACAGGGAAATGTGGGACCGCACGCAGGGTAGCAGGAGGACAGCTGGAGAACTGGGCCCAGGGCTGGGGCAGGAACCAGGGAGGGCACCGGGCAGTGCGGGGCGCCTCCCTCCCACCGCTGCAGCTAAGGGTTCAACTGCATCATTGCCCTTTTATGAGTTTACTCTTCCCCCTCTGAAGAGGAGTGTTCCCATCTTTGCAGATAAGACAAATAGGTCTGCCTTAAATATTTCTATTACTTAAAAGCGCATAAATCTATTGGTTTAAAACTGTCAGCACGATGGGAAAAGTCTGAGATGGAGCCACGCTTATCACCAGGCCAGGAATTTGCCCAAAGTGGGGGCAGGATGCTGAGCCCAGGAGGCTGGCAGTGCCCAGAAATGAGCTGCAGCCTCAGCTCCACTCCTGGCCCCCACGGAATAGTTTATGATCCAGCCCTAATAGCCAGACGGCATCGAGGCAGGGGTCAGGCCCATGCAAGCTGCCAGTGCCGGTACCAATCAATGTCCCTTTGTCTGGCATAAGATGGCATCAGGGACCGAGTTCCCACCCCCGCAAAAACAAAACAGAACAGAGTGGCTCTGTGCTTGGGAAAGCTTGGGGAAAAAGTACGTTCTACGGGGTGCTAGGAAAAGCCACCGACAGGAAGTAAGGGTTTGGGCTCTCCAATGACGTACTATACCTTACTACCTCTCCGGGAGGTGAGCGCCCTGACTCATGCTGCCTGCCACTTTCTGTGGTGTGAATTTCCCACCATGGTGACGAAGGGCACCCCCTTAATACGATCTCCCCTGCGCAGACACAATGGGTATCGACAACCTCAAGACTGTGGGAAGTGATGAATTTTGAGTATTTCCTACTTTTGCACTTATTGTAATAGAATTGATTTTAAACTGATAACATTTAATTTTGAATAATGGTTGTGTTTAACCCTTATTCACAGGAAGTCTTTAGGTCACTGGGGATGTGGCCTTGGGAGGACGCTGAGACCCCAGGCACTCCCTTCCTCTCTCTTATTCATTCATATTCTCTCTCTCTCTCTGTCCCTCCCAGTCTGTCTCCCTCCTAGGGGGAGCAATTTCCTCTGCCTGATGGTCCTACTTTGCCACAGGGCTAAGCCACCAGGGACTGAAACCTAGGAAACCAGGGCCCAAAATAAATTTCTCCTCCTTTTGAGTTGTTTATTTCAGCCTGGGGTGTAGCTCGGTGGTAGAGCAATTGCCTAGCCAGGCAAAGCCCTGCATTCCATCCCTAACATGGAAAGCTAAGTTTTTTCTCTCGGGTGTTTTGTCCTAGCAACAGAAAGCTGACTCACGTGCTGTGCGACTTCTCCAATAGCGCGCAGCCTCCGTGCTGGGATTCGAGCAGGGGCCATGTGGCTTCCTTAGCTCTTCCCCTAAGCACGGCCTCTTGATTCTGCTGCATCTCTGCCTGTGAAGTGGATGCTGTCCTCATGTCCCTGGTCGTCGTGAGGATGTAAAGATGACAGGAGTGGACGTAAGGGACCAGGGGCGTGACTCTGGGCTGAGTGGAAGCCACCTGGGTCCTCGGATGCTGAGTTGAGCCTGGCCGCAGGGGGTCAGCTGGCTGGGAAGCGCCCCAAGGAGTCATCGGCTGTCAGGCTATTATTATCCAGGCTTCAGGCTCCTGACCTCTTATCTACAGTCACTCTGTGAAAATATGCTCTCTCCCCGCCGAGACGCTCAGGGCCCAGC